GCCCCGCCCACCTCGCCCGGCCCCGCCCACCTCCAGCTCTTGGTGAAGTAGTCTCTCTCCCCGCCCCACTCACCTCCAGTATGTGGTGCAGAAGTGTCACGCGGCTCTGGTTCGCCTTGGTCTCCGTGAGCTTAAGCAGCGTGTTGATCTTGAAGCCGTCGGCATTACCCGTGTGGCTGCCCTGAGGACGGGCAGGCAGAGAGTGAGCCCGAGCTCCCTGCGTTGGCCCGAGGGGTCATATCGGGTGCGCGGGCGCGGCCCGGACTCACGTAGTTGAGAAAGTTCCCGATCTTGAGGATCAGTTGGCAGAAGACCGGCAGCTGGTGGCTGGTGAGCAGGCCTGGGGGAGGAGAGTCAGGGCTGGGGTGGGGGGCACCGGCCTGGATGCCCCGACGCCGGCAAGGCCCGCAGGCAGGGTCTGCTCCTGTTACCAGCATTCCTTAATCCCGTTCTCCAGACCCTGCTCCCCAGGCTTAGCTCACGCTGGGCACGGACCCTAGGCAGGGGCTTAGGCAGGTGGAAGACACCCACCCCAAGTAAGGGGTCTCCCTGACCCTCCACCAAAACCCCGGATGGCACAGTGGCCACCGCCCTATCCTGTGGGTGAGGACGCTGAGACACTGAGAAGATTCTGGAACCCGTGGTGTCCTTTGGTGCTTAGCTGTGGCCAAAATGGGCGTGCCTAGCAGCAGTGAGCTGTGCCCCTGGAGGGACCAGCTCACGTCCCTGCCCTGCTCGCTGCATGGCAAGTTCCTGCCCAAATCCCCATTCAGAAAGTGGGCCTCAGAGACGGGCACCTCCCCGCAGGGTCCAGGCCCCCCGCCCCCGCCTGGCCCTCTCCTTCGCCCACTCACTCTCGCAGGCGGCCAGCACCAGCTGGGCCTTGGGTTGCACCATGTCCAGCACGACGGCCGTCCCCTCACATAGCAGCATGCACTCAAGACGCAGCCGGTAGCTGAGGGGGTGAGCAGGGGTCAGGGGCTCCTCCCGGCACGGCCGCCTGGGCTCCCTGCCCCACTCCTGCCCTGGCCTGCATGTGGGGGCCCAGGGTCCACCCAGGACAAGCTCTGCCTTCAGTGAGCTGGGGATGGGGGTCCCACTGCCAGTCCTTGCTCTGTGTGCAATCCTGAGGCCCCGTCCCAGAGAAGCTGACTCGGTAGGGCCAGGGATGGCCCAGGGAGGGGCATCTCAGACAAGCACCCAGAAGCAGCAGATGGGGGTGGTCACAGCTGTGGGATACCCCTTTCTCTCAGAACAGGTGGGAGCTGGGCCAGGGGACTGTTTCTTCCCCAGGGTCACCAGCAGGACCTCTCACAAAGCCCTTCTCCCTCCCCGTGGCCAGGGTCCGGGCTGCTGGGCTTACCAGGGAACACCCAGCAGGAGCAAGTAGAACTGGTCGGCGTTTGCCAGCTTGGTGCGATCCTCCTTGAAGGTCTGCAGGTTTTCAATCTGTAAGGGAGGAAGCCACATGCAGGTATTCCACGGACACCCTGCGTCCAGCTCCTCTAGGCCCCCTCCCTCAGGAAGCCTTCCCAGACTGCACCAGCAGCCCTGCCCGCTCACTCCAGCTCCCATGGGCCCGGCTCTCCAGAGCCTGGGACCCTCCCCTTTTCCACTGCCCAGCTGGGGGCTGGGGGGTGGGCTGAACTGCACTGGGGAGGGTCCCGCTCACTTCATGTTTCTCAGGAAGGAGTTTGATGAGCTGTTTGAGAATCTCTACGTCAAACTTGGTGGTGTCCCCGGCACGAATCATGGTGGTGATCTCCTCGTTGGAACTGGGGGGAGGGAAACAATGGGGAGAGGGTGTAAGTCTTCCCACCGGGGGCCACTAGTGGAGACAGCCTTCAACCCGCAACACTTCGGCCCCTGTGAGGATGCTGGGCCAGGGCTGGTGAAGACAGATACAGGGAAGGCGTGTGGCCTGAGGTCGCACAGTAAACGGGGCTTGGGCTGAGTAACGCGGCGCCCCTGCCCTGGCCTCCCCTCCAGGGCTGCTCAGGACTCTGAGACTTCTGGGAAAGACCAGCGCCCAGAACCCGCAGCAGAAAGGGGCGCAGGGCCTGCTTGTGGCTTGGGGGAGTCCCAGCCACTCTCTGGGCATCAGTGCCCCTTGGGGCCCTGGGAGGGGGACGCTGCTGCCCTGGGAGGGAACATGCCCTTCCCAAGGGCGGCCTCTCGAGGGCAATGCCACGCCTGCAGAGGGAGGCTCCTGTGGTGGTGGTGGTGGGGGGGGCAGACGGGGCCCTAGGACAGTGCCCCGGTCTGCACACACCACTTGAACTGCTTCAGGAAGATGTTGAGGTTCAGGCTCTTCTTGGAGTCCAGAAAAGTGATCTGGAAAACACCCCGAGGAATGGGCTCTGACCTGCTGGACAGGCAGGTGGCCCCAGGTGACCCGTTCCCACCCTGGCCTGGGCGCCCACCTCCTTGGGCTCCTTCCTGGCCGGGGCAGCCGCTATCGGCTTCTTGGGCTGGGCGGCCGGGAAGGAGAAGAGCCGCTCGATGCTGGAGAAGTCGGGCTCCACGGCCTCTGTGTCCAGGCTGCCCAGCGACGCCCACATGGAGTGGTGCTCTGTGGGCGGGGAAGGCCACTGTCAGAGCACCTCGCCCAGGGTCGGGTCACCCTCACCACGGTTTGGGGTTTGTTGACGCCCCGCCTGGGGCCCCGCCCAAGAGAGTATACAGCAGGCACTCAATAAGCGCCTGCAAACGGGAGCTCCTGGGTTGCTACTGAGCTGTGCGTGTGCACGTGGTATGTGTGAGCATCCCTACTGGCCGGCGACCTGGCCTCCCCCTCGGCCACTGAAGTACCTGGGGCGGCAGCACCCCGGCCCCCGCGGCTCCATGCGTGCACCAGGGAGCCAGGCATGCGGGGCTGCGACATCAGTGATGTGGAACATGGGTGCAGACGTGCCTCGGAGGTGGCCTTGACCAAGAGGAGCTAAGCCCAGGGCTGGGCCAGCCGCCCTGGCACACGGACCAGCGGGCACATGCAGGCTGTGCGAGCACCACCCGCCACTCCCCCAGCACAGCCCAGAGCCCAGCGGACAGGCAGCCCCGCGCAGAGGGAGCACCTGCAGGACGTGGGCCCCGGCTACTCACCCTGGGCCACGCTGGACGGCAGCTTCTGCCAGTTGAGCTTCTTCATGCGCAGTGTGGGCGGGTTCACCTGCCGGTGCCTAGGTACCCGGGCCGAGCCCAGGCTGTGATCCACCTGGGACACGATGACCTCCTCCACGTTACCCGCTCCCGGCAGGATGGGGGTCCCGGGCATGCCCGGCAGGGGCGGGGGTGGGGGTGGTCCACTGAAGCCAGGTAATGGGGGTGGTGGAGGGGGTGAGAACGATGCTGCCAGGCCCAGCAGTGGGGGTGGTGGAGGGGGAGATGTGGCCGCCAGACCCAACAGGGGCGGTGGCAGAGGTGGTGGAGGTGGTGGAGGGGAAGACGTGGCCGCCAGACCCGACAGGGGTGGTGGCAGAGGTGGTGGAGGTGGTGGAGGGGAAGACGTGGCCGCCAGACCCGACAGGGGTGGTGGCAGAGGTGGTGGAGGTGGTGGAGGGGAAGACGTGGCCGCCAGACCCAGCAGGGGTGGTGGCAGAGGTGGTGGAGGTGGTGGAAGGGAAGACGTGGCCGCCAGACCCGGCAGGGGGGCTGGCAGAGGTGGTGGAGGTGGTGGAGGGGGAGACGTGGCCGCCAGGCTCGGCAGGGGAGGCGGCGGAGGTGGCGGGATGGGTGGCCGTGGCTCTGGGGCCATCTGCTGCACAGCCATCTCCCCACTCCTGCTCGAGGCCTTGGTGTCCTGTAGAAAGGCGGGGGCTGCTGCTGGCTGCTGGCCCTCCAGGCCCAGCTTTGGGACACTCGAGTTCTGGGGGCAGCTGCCCCTCCGGTGCAGGCCCAGGTCTGCCTGGACACTCTTGTGGGCCCGGTCCAGGGGGTGAGGCCGGGGCCGCCCCTTGGTGGACAGGAGCCGCTCCATCACCTCCTCCAGGGTGCACTCCTGGGCTGCAGACAGGCGGACGGGTCAGGGCAAAGGGTGCTGAGGGGCGGCTGAGGACTGGACCTCCCATGGTCTGAGACCCCTCCTGCAGTCTGAGGCCCCAGGGCCTGCCCCCGTCCTGCTCACCATCGCTGGCCAGGAGCACGGCCCGGTTTACCAGGCTCTCCAGGGCCTCCCAGAGCAGCTGGCTGGAGCGGCAGGTGGGCTCCAGGTGCAGGAGGCCCTGCAGCACCGACAGCAACTGGACGGACACTGGCGAGCAGCTCACCTGAGCAGCCGAGGGGGACACAGGTCAGGGGCTGTCCCCTCCCCTGGGGCCTGTCCACCAGGGGTGTCCACCCCCTCTATGCCTCAAGAGAGCCTCGGTGACAAGAAGGTGGAGGCTCAGAGAGGTGGAGCCGGGGTTCTGGACACGTGGGAGCCGGGTCATTGTGCGTGCGTGCGTGCGTGCGTGCGTGCGTGCGTGCGTGCGCGTGTGTGTAGGGAGTGGGTATCCTGTGCACTGTGGAGTTTTCAGCAGTATCCCTGAGCTCCACCCACTCAATGCCAGTAACAGTCCTGCCCAGTTGTGACAACCTGAAAATGCCTGCAGGCGCTGTCCCTTGTCCCCTGGGGGGCAGAACGGCTCCTGGGTGAGAGCTGCTGGGCTCAGGGAAGCGAGGGCTTGAGCTGGACTTGAACTCAGCCTCCTGGCTTCTCACCCGGTCACAAGCTCCCTGGTGGCAATCAGCCCTCTGGCCAGTGTGGCCACCGCTGGCCACTGAAACCCTGTCCCCTAGTCCCGGGGACAGCCCAGCTTACCCTCCCACTCTGGGCTGTGCCTCACTTTCTAGCCCCCCCAACCCTTGCTGCTCCTGGGAGTGTGCCCCAGAACTGGCACTGTTGCCCTGGTTGTGGTGGGGGTCTGACGGGGCAGAGAAGGGGCCGTTCCTGAGCCCTGGACTTGAGGGCCACAGCCCTCTGGCCCAGGCCCACCTTGTGGAACAGGGCGGCAAAGACCTCCTGGTGGCTGCTCATGTCGATCCCACCGCACACCCGGAGCAGCTCCTCCTCATCTTCGGCCTTGGACTCCTCGAAGGCCTCCAGCTGGATCAGCAGGTCGGCGTCCTCTATGTCGCTGAGGAGGAGGGCCGGGTGGGCTAAGCCTGCTGTCCCCCCGCCCCACCCCGCCACTGGGCAGATGCACAGCGGGGCAGTGAGGGGTGGCGGAGTGTCTGCTCCTACTGGCTGAGTTGAGAACCCCGAGAGGGATTCCTGGCAGGCCCAGGGAGGACATGACTGAGCTCTGTGGTGAGGCCCTGTGGCTGGGCCCCATGACGGACACGTGGCTAAGCTCTATAGTGAGGCCCAGGGAGCATCCACGGTTTATCCGGGCAAACCTCTTCGGCCTGAGAAAGTGGCAGGCTCACAGGTTTGAGCCTCACACCCTGGCAGCCTGCCCACAGGTCACCTGGCAGCTCCCACAGCCCTCGAGCAGGGGCAGACCAAGTCTGCACATTGAGGCTCAGCATGGAAGATAAGGATGGACAGCAGGGCCACTGCCTGGGAGAGGGAAAGCCCTCTTCTGGGAGCTGGGAGGGGGCACAAAGACCACGCCCGAGGCAGGTTCCCTGTGGTCACGGAGAGGGGTGAGGCTGCTGGCCCGAGCAGGCAGGGCTTGAGCATTCACTGGGCCTGGGACCTGCCCATCACCTCAGCCCAGCCAATGAGCCAAGCCCTGAGCCGGGTCAGTCCCCAGCAGGCAGCCAGCGACCTTCTCAGACCCCTCTCAGCCACCCACCAGGCTCTGGCCCTCAGCAGAACTTCCCTGAAGACCGTTCACCACTGGACGTACCAGCTGGGACTCCTCCTCCCAGCTAATCTCCTTGGGGTGGGGCTAGGAAGGGTCCCCGGGGAGTGTGTCCTCACTGAGGCTTGGGACGTGTCCTCAGCTGTGTGGGGCCAGAGTTAGCAAATGAAAATACAGGATACCCAGATAAATGCAAATTTTAAACAAACAGCAAATAATTTTTTAGTATAAGTATGACCCATGCGATACTTGGCACACAGTTACACTAAAAAAAAAATTCGTTGTGTCTGAAATCCGCCTTTAACGGGGCTTCCTGTCCTGTAGCTGCTGGCCTGTTCAACCCGCCCAGGTGACGGTGAGCAGCCAGGCCTGTGGCTACTCTGGGAAGCCCCATCCCTGCTCCCCAGGAGGTGCTGCTAGGAGGGGGCACTGGCCCCACGGCAAAGGTGGGCTGCGCTTTGGGAGCAGCAGGTGGGCGTGGGCAGGACCAAACTTGAGGAACTTACCGCAGCCTGGTCAGCACGTCCAGCAGCTGCAGCCCTGGGGAGGACAGTGGTCAGTGGGCCGGAGGTGGCCCCTGGAAAGCCCCCACCCTCGGCCCTCTGCCCCCTCCATCCCATCGAGCCTGGGGTGCGACATGTATGGGGACACCTGGCCCAGGTCCCCACCTCAAGGAGGCACTTGGGGGTCTCACTCAGTGGGACTCAGACCAGCAGGTCTGGGATCAGGGTTGGACCCCCGCCCCTCACTGCTAGGCCAGCCTCTCAACTGAGGAGCCTCCAGGGCTCATGCCCCCGAGTCTGGGTCCTCATGGTCACCAGGAGGAGCAGGGTGGGGTGCAGGGTCGGGTGGAAAGGCTTGCTGTGCTCCCCTCTCCCTACAGGATGTGGTGACAGGAGCTGCTGCAGACCCCCCAGCCCGGCCTTTGCAGGACACTTGGAAAGGGCTTGCCAGGTGGGCACTGGCTGGCGGGCAATTACCAATGAACTCATTCCGAAGCTGGCTGCGGGTTCGGAGATCCTCGGGGCCGAGGATGAGGGCATTGACGACGCTGAGCAGGGTGACCACGTAGGGCACGTTGTCACTGTTGGCCAGCTCGCTCATGATGACGCTGAAGCGGTACTGCTGGCTGCACACCGCCTGCGGGGACCTCGGGGTCAGCTTGTGTCCCCAGCCCACCCCTGCCCCCCTCCCTCGTCACACTCACCTTGTAGTGGTCCAGGGCGTCCAAGGTGAGGGTGTGGCCCTCGGGCGAGTAGATGCACAGGGCGGCCAGCAGCTCGAACACCTGCTTCTTGACCATCACGTTGGGCGTGTCCAGAGCTGCAGAGAGCGGCAGCCTCTGATGGCCGTGTGCTGCCACCAGCCCCACTGTCCCTGTACCGGGGACTCCTGTGGCCACCCCCGGCCCCCGCTTGCCTCCTGGTCTGAATGCCCCACCCGTCAGTGTGGCAGGCGGACACCAGGGGGCGCTCTGCATCCTCCACTGTCCACAGCAGGGCTGGGCCTCCAGGCCACAGGGCAGACATCCGCGGGGAGGGCGTGGAGGCAGCGGCTGCGCCAGCCACCCCAGGACTCAAGGAATGGTGGTGCCCTGCTGGCCGGCACCTCCCTGCCGCTGACTTGGGCCGTGACCCACATGAGCACGTGTTCCTGGGTATAAGCCCACACGTTTTCTCCAAACCCAGCACCACTGCCACTGTGACAAGCCCCAGCCTGGGTACCTCATCCCACAAGCCCTGACTCCCACCTGCTCCCTGAGCCAGGAGAGTTTGGAGGTGTCTCCTGGCTGGTCCTGCTGAGAATAAGTCTCAAAGGATCCTGCCGAAGGCCACAGCCATGCCTGAGCTGTGGGGACACACATCCGAGCCCTGGGACCGAGAGATGAGGCAACCTCTGGCTCGCTCTCTTGCTCCCACCCATCACTGCCCCACCGCCCCCAGCCAGCCCTGGGGCCTCACAGCCCAGGGGAGAGGGGACACACAGGGACCACTGTCCACCAAGGTCCCCCTGGGGGCTCTCACGAGGGTTCGGGATGCAGAGGGTGCCAAGGACTCTGGGCACAGCCTGGGGAGGCTTCCTGGAGGAGGTGGCAATGAGCAGCACTTAGAGGACAAGCAGGACTTTGCCAAACACACGAAGGCAGAGGACAGCTGGGTAAGAGGTGGGGCAGGGGCTGGAGGGAGTGCTGGGAAGGTGCCTGGAAGGTGGTGGACAATACTGTCTGCTGGTGTGGGCTGGCTCTAAAGGGCAGGACGACCCAGGTGGACTTGTGATTTTGACCCAAGGTGACTCTAGTGGCCACGGCGTGGACGAGGGGCTGGGGGTGAAGACTTCAGGGACCAGGGAGGAGGCAGGGCCTGCACGGTGGGTAGGCAGGGCAGACTCACAGGTCAGGGGGAGAATGAGGGGAGCTGGAGGGAGGGACAGAGGGTTCAAGGGTACGTATGTGAGGTCTCAGGCTGGCAGACAGATGAGTGGTGGTACTCAGGGAAGAGGGTGCCTCCTCCAGGAAGTCCTCCTTGCCTGCCCTGGGCTGAGCTCACTCCCCCTCTGCCCTGTGGCCTCCACATTGCCTGTCCCACCTGCAACCGAGCCCTGCGATCCTGAGGTCAGTCTGGCGGGCTGCCCACTTACCCTGGGAGAGCTGGCGCACGTAGCCCTGGTTGCTGAGGATGTACTCCATGCCCTGGCGCGAGTTCATGACAGCGCGCACGCAGCTGATGCAGGTGAGCTGCAGCAGAGCGTCAGCAATGCGCGCCACGCCGCGGCCTGACAGCCGTGCCAGGGCCTCCAGCAGCAGGTCCAGGCCGCTCTGCTCCAGGAACTGCACCATCCAGCCACCATCGCTGCTCTCCAGGCGCTTGCGCAGGCCCGAGTAGTTGACGACCGAGGGCATCTGCAGCAGCCGGATGCACAGCTCGGGGTCAGCGTTCTCCAGGTTGGCCTCGGTGGGGTCCGACTCCTGCGGCCCCAACTTCTCCTTGAGTGCTGTCCATCTGCGCTGGGCGCCTTCCTTAACTGACATCTTGCCGAACTGCGGGCCAGAGGAGACAGTCATCAGCCCCCAGGGCAATGCACAGGCCCAACACCTCCAGGCGGCAAGTGAAGCCTGGTTCACTTGGTTTTGTCTGCCTCAGTTTCCCCATCTGCCAAGCAGTGTTTCATTGTGCTTCCGGCTCATGCCAAGGCCCCTTTCCATGGGGTTCACCTGTCCCTGGGTGGTGCAAATGTGAACGTGCTCGGCTGCTAACCAAAAGGCTGGAGGTTGAAGTCCACCCAGAGGAACCTCGGAAGAAAGTTCAGGCGATCTACTTCTGAAAACTCAACTCCTGAAAACTCTGGGGAGCACTCGACAGCAACTAGTTTCTCCCCGTGCCGGCCGCCTTTACGTCGACCCAATGCAGTTGCCACAGCAACCCCAGGAGGCGGGCGGGGACATCCCCACTGTGCCCGCGAGGAGCCCGAGGATCGGTGCCACCCCTCTGCCGGAGGACTTGGAGCCAGGAGTGGAGGACTAGGTCGGAAGGCCAGGCTGCCTAACACCGAGCTGGAGCTCCTACTGTCCCTGAAGACGGGCCGTGGACCTGCCTGCAGAGCCTGGGGGCGGGCCTTGGGCGGCTACACTGCACAGGAACACCACAGGCTCGTGGCGATGTTGCAAGAAGCCCCCGTGAACTGGGTTGGAGAGACGGGTGCTGAGCCCTTCCCGGGGCTACCCACAGCCGCAGGAATGCTGGCTCACTCCCGGACGTAGACTGAGGAGGGGTGAGTCGCAGGAGCTGACTTGAGGGCCAGCCACATGACGACACGCCCACCCCACACTGGGTGAGGCCAGGGCTCATGCAGGAACCCTGCAGGCCCCAGCCTTCTCTGGGCCTCGGTTTGTCCACCTGGGGGTGGGCGGTGGGCTGATGTCCCCAGGGCCTCCCTGCTCGGAGTGCAACCCAAGTCATCACAGCCCCTCCAAGAGAACAGCCCCAGAGGCCAAGGGGGCCAGCCCAGAGCCTCCCCACAATGAACGCCTTTGCAAAGCAGGACATGCAGCTGCATGAAGGAGGGGTTTGGTGCCGCAAGCGGGGCACAGGGTGTGTGTGACTACCGGGGTGGGGGCGCTGACCGCGCAGCCAGACCTGCCTCCAGCCCGGGATGCAGGCTCTGCCTCTGCTGTTGTCCAGGCCTCTCTCCCAGGGCCCTGGCTTGAAGCAGGGTCAGCCACACAGGCTGCAGTAGGGCCGGCGGGCTGGGACACTGTCCCCAACTGCAGACCCTGGGGACAGCCTCAAAGGTCAGGGCCGCCCAGGCCTCCTGTGACCATGTATGGCTCGGGGCTTATATTTAGCATCTGGGAATGGCTGCGTGGGGCCCTGGGGGAGAGCTGGTGAGGCCCGGTCCCCACGCTCCCCACCCAATCCTCACCACTACAGCCACCCCGCGAGGCAGGCGCCTCACACCCCCACTTCACAGATGGGGAAACAGAGACAGAACCCAGAGAGCCAGATCACCTGTCCAAAGTCACACAACCACAGAGCCATGACTGGAACGCCCGTGGCGGCGCCAGAGCCTGCTGGACATCTGGAGCAGCCCAACTCAGTAAGAATGGGAGGCCTCAGGCCAGGGGCCCTGTGAGGTCACGCAGGAGACAGTGGTCGAGAACCCAGGCGCCTGCCCGCAGCCTGTCTCCCAGCCCCCAGTACGCGTGTTCTCACCCGTGGAGGCCCTGCCCTTTGCCCTGGGTGAGGGCCCTGGGGCGTCCTCCCTGAGGTTCCCGGCCCCCTCCCCAGGCTGCCCAGCCGAGAACGAGTCCCAGGGTGGCCCGGCACCTCGGCAGCATCCCCCTCTGTCTGCGGTGGGTCCATGCCAGGGAGCCCAGCCCCGCCTCCTGTCCAAGTGCCCTGTGTGGCCAGCAGGATCCTTCAGGCAGGTGGCCTGGTGGGTGGAAAGAGGGGGCTCTGACCCAGAGTTGGACGCTGCTCTGGCCAGGCACCGATCTTGCCAAGCCTCAGTTTCCTCATCTGTATCTCCAAATCAGGCTGCTGCTGGGAGCATCCTAGGAGGCAGTGGGCGCCCTGCGGGCGGTGAGGGGGATGTCCGGGTATGTATTAGCCCTCTCCAGGCGGCCCAAGGAGCCCTGGTGGCGCAGTGGTTAACGTGCTCAGCTGCTAACCAAAGGGTCTGCAGTTCGAACCTACTAGCTGCTCTGCAGGAGAAAGATGTAGCAGTTCTACTCTGTCCTATAGGGTTGCTATGGGTCAGAACAGACTCAACAGCAACAAGTCCAGGGGGCCCGGCAGCCTAGGTCCCCCCGCTGGGCCCTGTTGGGTGGAGAGTCTGGAGCCCTCCCCTCCACCCTCCTGTAAATGACCCTCTGGAGCCTGGCCCTCTGGACCACCTCTCACTCACCCAGATTCGTAAGACCTTCAGGCCACCTCTGTGCACCCACTCTGGGACCTGCCTCACGCTGCTCCGGGTACTCTCGTGGTTTCTCATCCCTGCTGCCCACTGAGTGCCCAGATGCCAGTCAAGGTCCCGGCCCCCCCAGGGAGCCTCAGGTTCCCAAGGCCTTCTCGGTGGCGGGGCGGGACTTCTGCCACCACCACGGAGAGCAGGCAAGGTAGATGGGGCTCTGCACACACTGCCACCCACCTGGGAGCTGCTGCTTAAAACAGGCACTGGGACGGACCCGCCCTTCCCCAAGCCCTGCCTCCACTGGCCCGAGTCCTGCCCTCTTGGCTCAGGCTGAGTGGCCAGACCAAGAACCCTCCCAGGCCAGCCATCTGCATCCAAAGTGTCCTCTCCAGCCAAGTGCCCCAGAGTCCCTCGGTGCCAAAAAACCACCTTTCAGAGCCAATCGATGTTCCTGCACTTCCTGTGCCCCAGTTCCCAGGAGAGCCCAACACACGCGGGGCCTGCTGACCCACGCCACTGACCCCCTCCGGGCACTGCCCAGTCCTCCCTGCCCACCCCCAGAGCCCAGGCCAAGGGCTCACTCCTCTGCAAGACCCCAGGCCAAGGGCTCGCTCCTCTGCAAGACCCCAATCTCCAGGGGCATCCTTGGTCAGGAGGCTGGGACTGCAGCAGGAGGTGACTGCCCCACCTGTCCAAGGCAGAGTCCTGTGCCCGTGTGCCCTGGGCGCCAAGCTCCTCTTCCTGGGATGGCTGCACAGGGGACTGTCTCGTGCTCTGCTGGGAGCTGTGGACCCGTGCAGGGGCGTCCATCCAGGAGAGGGCAACTGGGCTGCTGGCCTAAGTGGCTGAAGCGGTGCCCCGCTTTTCTCCCCGTGATGCTCAGGCCCTGGAGTGGGGACATTTTCCGGAAACGTTCCACTGCTCTGCAGGAGCACAGGAGGGAACCAGCATTTACTGATAGGCGATGCCCGGGCTGTGGGGAAAGCCGCTTCCTGCTCCCTACGCAGCTCAGCTGGCGTGAGCCTGTACTCAGGGCAACATCCCTGTCTATCCTCATCTGCAGTACCAGGACACGCAGCGGCGGAGGCAGAACGGGACGGAACCGGCACCGGGCGGCGTGAGTGGGCCTTCACGAAGCTCTGCGGCTATCTCAACACCGCCCGCGGAGCCCGCCCTCGCTGGGGCTCAGACTCGGCCCGCTGCCCCCCGACCTCCCCATCCCGCAGGCCCGGCGCCCAGAGCCGGCAGGGCTGC